TAGACCAAATGACATTTACCTGTTGACTGCTGATATCACTAAGAATCACTGCCATACTTTCTGAAAATTCACAGAGTATAGGTGAATTTCCTACAAGGAAACAGACTCTTAAAAGGGTCATACCAGGTCCATTCAGAAGATATAAATTCCACAAACTGGATTTCTAAAACCACTGATTTGATCATCTCTAGGTAACCAATCAAAAAGTCAGCAGTTCAAATCCACCAGCCGCTCCTTGGAAACCCTATGGGGCAGTTCTACCCTATCCTATAGGATCACTATGAATCGGAATTGACTCGACGGCAAAGGGTTTTGCTTTTTTGGAGGTAACCAAAGCTGTTGTAGACATCTGTGTAAAATTCACAACTCAGTCACGAAGAGGATGGGACAACAAAGGAGGTTTAGTTTACTAAACAACACGTGTCCTTGGATGCTGTCCTTTTGTCTGTCACAGAGTCAAAGATCACCAAGAAGCAAGTGCAAGCAAAAGACCAAGTGGCCACGACCCCACTGGGAGCACCAGCTGCTCAGCCTCCAGGCTCACAGTCTCCCGTAGTGTACCTGAAGGATGTCGTGTGTTATCTGTCCCTGCTGGAGACCGGGAGGGCTCAGGATAAGCTGGAATGTAAGTGCTTTCTCCATCAAGGGGCTTCAGTGTTTTTCTCTAGGAAAATCTAAAGTCCTGTCCACCATTCCTAAACATGCTGGAGACTGATCTGGTGTCATGGGTAGGACTCCTTGCGGGAGGTTTTCCAGTTCTGTCACCGGCAGCCATATAAGTAACAGTTCCTAGAATCCACCCTCGGACACAGTTCCAGCTGTCCATAGAATGGGCAGGGCATCTGAGACCTTGGTGTCGAGAGCCCCTTGGGTCTCTGCGAGGAGTCGAGACCCCCATACCTTTGGCAGCAGGACTTCCCAGAAGCCTCCAATCAGATAGTTGTTGCCTCCACTCAGTTGCTTTTCCAAAGAAAGATATTCAACATCTGTCTCCTCCCCCTACGCCCCGCCTGATCAAAAAACAAAAACCCGTTGCCGTCGAGTCGATTCTGACTCATAGCAACCCTATAGGACAGAGTAGAATTGCCCCATAGAGTTTTCAAGGAGCAGCTGGTGGATTCGAACTGCCGACCTTTTGGTTAGCAGCCAAGCTCTTAACCACGGTGCCACCAGG